AATTTGTCTGTGAATAGGTAACAATTCCCCCGACAATTTTAAGTAGAATAAACAGCTTGAATTTGGGAATAATTTTCTATACAAGGATAAAAGCTGATAGCTTAGAACAGTAGTATGGAATATTGAATATATTTTAATTCTGTAATTTGAAATTTGTTAAATTCAGTGAAACTAGCAATTGCAAATATATATTTCGGTCAGAATACAGGAATAGGTTGGTTCAAATAACTGCTGCTTCAACTTTCTCCTCCACTAAGTCCACGCATCTGAAACAAACTGACTAATCAATTCCATACCGGTACCCGACATGAACCGGTAACTGGTCGAGAAGCTGCGGCTTGCAATCGGCTCTCCTCTACCCCGAAATAAATATATAAATTCTATCCTTTGTCAATCATGCTAGAGTAATAACATTCAGTACTGTACTTTCCAAATTTCAATTCAATCAAATATGTGGTTTTTCTGTTTTTACAGTAGTAAGAAAAATTAAAATATACAAAATATAATATACTAATATTATCATTATACTACATTATAGTCTATATCAATTTCATTGAAATTTCTAAATTCTTCTTCTGCATGCAAAATTGCCTATACTAAAAAATTTGATACCGGTACCACTATACTGTTATATAAATCTTTACAAGACGAATAAACATCCCAGACCCAGAATTCGGGATCAGCTGTATTTATATATATCTGTATATTCCTGGAGATTTCTCAGCTATCATAATCGTATTTGAATCATTAGGTTTTCATCAATCAGAGATGGAGGAGATCGCTAGGAGTCTATTACATTTAATTTTATCTACCCGAATTTTGCTGTTTTATATCAAGCGCAACACTTTTTTACTCCATGTAAATTATCCACGGATTCCAGCAATTACAGAATTATGTGTTTTTATTGAGTTATAAGCATTGCCCGATTTTGAATCGTGTCCATAGGATAGGATAGGATTTACAAATTTATCCCGAGGAGAGAAAAGTCGATAAGACGGCTTAACCATATGACGAACCACGGCCTCTCGTGCGGTTACCATTCCATGCCGGGTATGGGATTAGTTAGTTATTTGTTTTCGGAAGCATGGACTTGATGGTAGAGGAAGCCGTAACAGACCAGGGATTACGTGAACCACCCTACTACGGCGAGGAGTCCAGCAATTCTCTTGTACATAATTATCCCGCAAAGGATTCGAACCTGCGAACCCATGCAGAGTAATTAGAGATGCGGTGGCGAGCGTATTCCAAACGCTTAGCACGATGAGCCACATATTTTTTGTATACTTGTATTATTCTTATTTTATTTTTTGGTGGGTGAGCACGTACTATTTGTTGCCTGTTTACTTTTTGTGTTGTTCCGTTTTACGTCAGAGAGCCGAAATAAAATGATTGATTGATTGAAACATACATACCGGTACCGTACATGCATACAACATACAGGTAGGTACCGCACCGTTACCTATTCAATTCTACAAACTGAACAATTGCGAGTGGACTATGCTAGAATGCAAACAATGCACTCCAATGGTAAAGGGGTCATACAGTACAGTACAAAGCGAGTATTACAAACTTTGAAGAGACCATAAGTACGGTAAGACACGGTCTTCATTTGAAGTAGCAAAGCGGCCCTCAACGAACACAACACCTGCGACACTTTTTTTTTTTTTTTTTGTCGCCAAATTCAAATCCATTGCCAAATCGGATTTGCAACACTGCAACACACGCGCGGCGGTGTGGCTCAACGGGCTAAGCGTTAGGAATACGCTCGCCACCGCACCTCTAATTACTCTGCGTGGGTTCGCAGGTTCGAATCCCATGCAGAGATGGTTATGTGCGAGAGGATTGCTGGACTCCTCGCCGTCGTTGGATGGTTCACGTAACCGCTGGTCGGTTACGGCTTCCTCCACCACCAAGTCCATGCTTCCGAAAACAAACAATACAGTAAAAATAATCCCATACCCGACTTGGAATGGTAACCGGACGAGAGGCCGTGGTTCGCCATATGGATAAGCCGTCTTATCGGCTTTCCTCTCCCCCGGGATAAATATGTAAATCCTATCCTATCCTATCCTAATAACAGTAGATTAATAATAACAAAATAACAGAACCTTCTCATGCATTCAAAATTCATCCTACACGGGAAAATAATTGTTCGTGCGTATGGGGATAATTTTTTTTTTTTTTTTTTGCCAAATTCAAATCCATTGCCAAATCGGATTTGCAACCTGCAACACTGAGTTATAATAACAATAGATTAATAATAACAAAATAACAGAACCTTCTCATGCATTCAAAATTCATCCTACACGGGAAAATAATTGTTCGTGCGTATGGAGATAATTTATAACTATTGGTTTAAACAATTTTTCATACGGTTTTTGCCATTTGTATATTTATTGCAATATATTTATTTTCCCGTAAAATATATTGTTTGCTTTATACCAGTTGTATGTGTTTTATTATGGTGCGTCAACGCCCATGGGTTAGTCGAGGTTATTGACTCATAACAAATATTTTTATCCGTGGAAGACGAAAGCAGTTTAAACGGCTCAATAATACGAGTGATCTTACGAAGCATCAGAAATGTGGTATATCAGACGAATTATGAGAATATCGTGGATGGAAAAAATGTCAAACGAGGAAGTAATGGAAAAGGCCGGTACAAAAGATCCCTAATTAAAACCATCAGGAAAAGACGACTACATTTTTTTGGGCACATAAACAGAGCAAATGGGATAGAAAAGCAAATACTGTGTGGAAAGATTTGTGGTACCAAAAGTAAGAGAAGACAACGCACAAAACACACCGACAGCCTGAATAATTACGTAACGAAGAAAGAATCCGCCAACAATGAACTCATCAGGAGAACTAACAACAGATTGGAATGGAAGGCCATGATCGCCGATGTCTGTAACAGACCTGGTACATGAAGAAGAAGATCTTACGATTACCAGTCCGCCTCTGTTAGAAATTAGTTAGCCATCTATTTGCTCTAAATACTTGGACTCAATCGCGGAGGAAGCCGTAGCGGAACAGTAGTTACGTTTGTGGAAATAAAAACTCTCTCTCTCTCTCTGACAAACTTTCGGTAGTGGGAGAAAATTGCGCGAACACCTAAAATATTCTCGCTTCTCGGTGGAACTAATCATCTTTGTTTATACTTCCTTGTTGAGACCTGCATAAGTCATTTTGACTAATTTTTATGCAAATAGGGTTGATGGTGACCTTTGTTTGCGCATTGTTTGGCGGGTATGCGGCAACTTGTGTCAACCAAACAACCACTTAAAGGAAATTTTGACTCATAATTTTATATCAATGATTCAATGATATTTGTCGCTTGAGTTCACACTTGATTTGTAATCATCACTATTACGTCTTCGCATCATGAAGTATTTTAGCGTAGCTCAACAAAAAGGAATTTATGCCACAAGTTTTTCATAAGCTTTAGTTGCACGGTATCTCTTAGCTGTTTACTGGTGGACAGCGCTCCACCATAATTGTATATGATTTTAATGACGGCCAGTACTTTACGTTTGTGGCAATAAATCTCTCTCTCTCTAACACATGTACAGATTTCATGAAATGGGAGAAATACAATTTGAAATTGAAAAATACTACAAACTTATTTTAATCTCGGAAAAGTAAATAGTTTGTAAAATTTTTGATTTGGAATTCCGCTTCTTCGTGAATATGTTTTTAATTTTGGTCGTAATAACAAGTTTTTTTTAAAGTGCAATCGTCTTTTCCAAGTACAACAGCAATAAATTCCTACTTGATACCAAAGAAACAAATTTTTGCTGAAAACCAAAGCAATCCTCCAAAAAGAAATGGACAAATTAATAAATTCGTTAGTTTATTTAACAAAGTTCTCACACAAAGTAAGCTTTGAACATTTGGAATGCAGTGAATCAAACAGAATTAATTTAAAATATGTGATAAAAAATACTAACCAGCAAATTTTCAAATCAGTTAAAAAATGAAGAAGCATGGTAGTAAATGAAGAAGCATGGTAGTAAATGAAGAAGCATGGTAGTAAAGTATTGATTGCATATGTACGATAAAATATACAGCAAAGATGAAATTATTTTAAACCACAACATACATACGGCGTGAATGCAACTTATTATGTAAGTATTTTGCAGATAGCACTAAAAAAGGTTTGTTTTAAGGAAAACTACATTGAATATATTATATTATGCAGTAAAAGGCATCTGCTAATTTATAAATTGCATGTTATTCACTGTTTTTAATTACAAAATGATAAGTGAATTCAATTGATGAAGAAACCGCTTGAAGAATGCACAAGACAATATATCATACCCAGATAATATCGAATTGCCTCAAAAACTGAATAGAAATAATAAATCAATTTAATTTTTACTGGCCACTGGCTATATATAACACTCGCTTCCAATGACCTATGATATTGGTGACAAATTTCACATATCAAGGATATAGAATCCCACTCCATTCGCCAAAAATTAACTTTAAATGATAGGCAAGCCAAATCAGGGCTGAGGAGTCGAGGCCAATGTAAGATTTATAAACTCTGTTTTCCTGTCGTTGAGAGCAGGAGTCAGAATGTCCATCAACCAACAATCGTTTTTTATATGGGCATCGATTCTGTCCGACTACACACTGTCATAATCGGAATTCACATAAAAAAAAATGCTACAAACAAATATAGGGTATTTGATAACACAAACAAATCATTTAAAAAAAATTCTTCACATCGGTAGTAAACATAGCTATGTCCAGTGAGTTGAAGTTTTTTAGGCAATGTCATTGAGTAATTACATTTAAGAAAACGATATAAATTAATCACGGAAAGTAATGCAAGAAATCATTATAGAAGTTTAAAAAATTTACTCAGTAGTAACACGAGCACCTATTAAATGTCAAATATCTATCATACAATTCCATAATAGTAAGAATACAAACATAATCTCCTAGCATGTCCTTAAATGGTTACTGACTATTATCTGTCATATACAATCAAATCACTTCAAATTAATCTTCACTGCATCGAGTATAAACAGATTCATGTTCTTCATGTCAATCATCTCCCATTGATCTTTCTTGAAATCAAACTTTTCCATGCTTCCTGGTGAACTGAAAAATATAGAGAAGATTATTTCAGTTCTGCAAGACAAATGGTTTGTGAAGTGGTTGTTAGGCTACTCTTGAAAATAGATTTTTAAATTCTACAGTAACTAAAGACACGAAAAAAGTAAAAATGACCGGTTACCGCAGGTGGCAGACTCTGATTCAAACTTCATAGTCAGCAATATGATTATACTGCTTCTTCTATCCGCACAAAGAGCTCAAACCAAAAGCGATTATCTATCCAAAGTTATGAATATATTCACAAAAATATAAAGATTTCAGTTTATTTCTGTGAGCATCGACAATATGGACACTAGATTGGTACAACACTTATAGTGATGAATACAGGGTAACAAATATTTCTTTGGGAATAAGTATTTCAGAACAAAATCTCCAAAACAGAAGACCCTAGTGCAGGGGTGTCGCGACCCCAAATTGGATCGGAGTGATAAGTAGGTAGAGTCGCAAACAGGTCATGGTGTCGGTGGGGTCGCTGAGGTATGGTAAAAGTTTATTAAAAGTGATTATCGGAGTCGCATAACAAACATTACCTTGGAAAATTCTTTGGTACGCTGCCTGACATCATACATCCCCAGATACAGAAAATTGATTAAATTAAACAGTGACCACTCCCAATGACAGAGATTTTTTAATTTTAAAACTTTTTTTTTTTTCGTAATTTCGGTATTTTTAATTAAAATCGAAAGTTTAAATGTTTTAGCTTCTTTTACTTGATACCACCACATGACAAAACTCAAAAGTCCAGTGACAGAATCTCTAAAGTTACATGTAAATTATATATATTGACCTGGGGTCGCACTGGACACTTGAAAGTTGTCTTTGGGGTCGTCCTGAGAAAAGCTTGGGAACTCCTGCCCTAGTGCCTACCATGTTGTAATAAATCTCAATAACTCTACCTGTTCCTTCCTCCAATTGCGTAAATATTTCAATCAATCACAAAAGCACTAAACCAGCTTCGCTTCGTTAACATGGGAGTTACCGTGGACCACACGTTCGTTGAAATATCATATCGTTCAACAGTTGTCAAGTGATTGTTCGCATATCCACCTGAACAAAAATAAACAGTTTGTTTATATCTGCTTGCAATTTTGCCAAAATGATACAAAACAATGTTTATCCAACTTTTGACAATCTCACCTACACAAGACAAGGCAATACATGAATAAAAATGGAATAGTGAACTAACATGATGGCAGGTAACAACTGCAAGGTGATGAATATAATGCGGAAAATTTTACTAGCCTGAACTGAAGATTTTGGAACTTGTTCAGTATGTCTGATAATCACTCTAAATTTCAACTACATATACGTCGTTACAGCCGTCTCTAGTAACATTACCAAATGTATTTATGAGTTTACAGTTTACACGGCTATTGGATTGACCTTTGCATTCGTGTAAGTATATAGGTATACAAACATTTGAACATGATTTGTCACATCACAATATAATTCTGCGATTTTGCAGAATAACATGTTTGGAATATTAGTAGTTCATGACGATGCTTACATGTTGGCATTGCCTTTGATACCTTGAAGCACAGTCATTGAAATATTCTGGTTAATTGCTTTTTTTTATGTAAAACTAAATATATTTTTTCTTGAGTCCTTGTACATTTTTAGCAACAAACACCAACCTACCTAGAACATATATTTTTCCTTCATTTTCAACGGCTGCAACATCGTTTTTTGCTTCATACATGGATGCAACAAATGACCAAGTTGATGATGTTGGGTCAAATCTTTCTACTTGGTTGGTTGAACGACCTGATATATAGCCACCAATGCTGTATATACAACCTGGAATCATACAAGGATTATTACTTTCAAGTGTTTTCTGCATTCTGGTATTCCATGAAAACTTGGGACAACCTGATAAATCCGATATCTGTTGGCAGTCATTTTATATTTACCGGAAGTGTATTGCAAGTTTGTTTCAAAAAACAAAGCAACCACTGATACAAAACGACCTACTGGTCAGTGAAAAACGGAATTTTTTCCTGTTTGGTTCAGACCAGGGGTTGACAACAGACAAAGCTATTTAGCGTCCGCAACGTTATCCATTGTTGCCCATGTCAACACTCAGATTTATCCCCATCAAGAGTTGATCCGACAGTATATGTTTAAAAAGCCGCTCACATCAGCGAAATTACATGTTTTTATGCTCTTTTTAATGCGTTTGATACTTCGCTGTTATGACCGGTGCCTCTATTACTGTGAAGCAGAGAAGTTGGTTATATGGCCCAGCGACAATTCCAGTTATTACCCTATTGTATGACTGCCTGTTTCGAGCCACTCCAACGCAACTTCGAACCTCTAGCACCCAGTGCTGTTGAATCCGACAGTATATGTTTAAATAGTCGCCCACATGGGTAAAATTACATGTTTTTATGCTCTTTTTGATGCGTTAAATACTTTCACCGTTTCGTCCGATGCCTATATTACTGTAAAGCTGAGCATTTATCGTTCCAGCTAGATTTTTGAAGTTGTTTATATGGCCCAGCGACAATTCCATTTATTACCCTATTATGTGACTGCCTGTTTCGATCCAGTTCAATGTAAATGACATTTATTGGCGCTCCCGAAGTATGTGAACTACGATGGCGGGCCCCGGAACTTAGTATGTGTACCAGGTTACATACAGTTAGGCCATAATTTATTCCAATTTTCCTTATTTTAGTTCTATTACGAGTTCGGGGACTAGTCATGTATTTGTACCTGAAATTATGGCCTAATTCTAACCTGGTACACATACTTCGGGAGTACCCCTTTATTTATAAGACACCTTCTAACCTCTAGCACCCAGTGCTGTTGAATAACCACTGTTGAGATTTTTGTCTTTTACTTTTTCCCATTTGTTACTTGATGGATCGAACTTTTCAACTGATTTTGAGAAATTATCGGAAGAATCAACAACGTAGAGGTTTCCTGTAAGAAATTCATATCTAAGACATATGGTAGAAAGCAAATGATACTTGAAAAATAATAGAAGATAAAGTAAAGAACTATGCGCCTTAAGGCAAAAAATGGTACTCGTGGCATTTATACTAATATAAACCATGTCATAATAATATATAGGACATTAGCAATGGAAAACAAAACATTAACAAAAAATAAGAAAAAATTTTCATGGGATTTATATAAACACAAATAAACCACTAATCTTAAAACAGGAGTGTTAGTGTGTTGTATAATCAACTCAAATCCATTGGTCTTTCAATTCCGGATCTGCGTGTTTTAGCAAAGTAACTCAATCCTAACTATTTTGACAACTTTTGTCTTGGCCTTGTTTTGCCTGAACTCAAAAAATATATTGCGAAACAACCACTATTTCTTACACAGATGGATTGTGTTATAATTCTTCAATGGTGTTAATATGGAAATGTAAATTGTATTTTTAAACTTTGATTAAGTGACAAGTTTTGCAAATCAGAATAAAGTTATCAGTATTTTGTGCACAAAACGTTCAGAAGAATTGTGGGTCACCCACAATGAAGTGATATACCGTATATTTTCGCACATACGCCGAGTTTAAAACACAAAAAAAAAGTTGCCAAACTAAGGGGGCGGCTTATACTCGCATAACTCAGATTGCATAAAAAAATCGACTCATTTGCGCATGACTTTGATCACGCAACGAGATTGACATTAAGCTAACTTGCCGGTAATTCCAAAAGCTTCAAACCGCTCTTAACCCTTTCCGTGCTATTTTTATTTTTTATTAAATAATCGTATTTGCTACGCCGACTTTATGCATTTGTACCCCCACAACTAATCGATCGACTAACGAAAAACTAATGATCCTCTGCTGCCCACTGACGGCTCGTTGGAAAGCTTATTTAAAGAGCTGGCAATTGGCGATTTAAAAAAAATATTTTTTTAAAAGGGGTGGCCTGAGTCACAAACCGGATAGAAAAAAGGATTTTTTTTTTCTTGGGTGTTGAAACTTCAAACCGTGATAAAAAATAGAAATATTCGCTAAATCCTTTACTGTTAACGCTTCTTGGTTGGCAAACAATAGCATAATATTGCTGTAGCAATTTCGTTATCTAACTCAAAATACTTTGGTAGATGGAAGGGATAATATGTCTTCTATTACCACCCAAAAAACACCGAAATTTGCATAAATTTCCAAAACTCTCCCTCGTTCCGCCGCAAATAAAATTCCCATGGTAAACGAACACGAGATTTACCGTCGCTTATGTTAATCTCGAAGAAGACTTCTTATCAATAGACTAAAACCTGGAAAAACTAGACCAACAGTTTGCGACCGATTGCTAAATAAAACAGTGGAGTACATCAACGTACCCACCGCAATCTAGCGAGTTTTGTCGTGGGTACGTATACGTGCCCACCGCACGGAAAGAGTTAAGTTCTCACGATAAAGAACGCACACACACAATCGCTTGTGCCGGTGTGATTGTCTCATCATACAGCTGATGGCTCGTACAGTCTGTGATTGGTTGTTAAACACGTGACGCTTGTACAGTCTGATTGGCGTCGATTTACGGCCAGCGTTTCGTGGTTATCATTTAGTGCACTATCGCGGTACAACGCAAGTAACGGCGCCCTCATTTTGATCACCTTTACGATATGTTATCCTTTTCAGTTGCGCTGATAAAGACTCTTATCTCCGTTATAATTGAAATATTTACCGTTACATATGCATGACATCGCTTACGCTGTTGAGGTGATGACACAATATTTAAAATTAAATGATAAATAAAATTATTCAAATCGCAGTACGGAGCAACATCGAAATAGTGGAGCTTGTAAATATGTCACAAAACGACATTCATTCTACGACGTTTGAAAATCTTTTTAATAGCAACTTCCGAATCAGCGATTTATAAGAATGTGTTAATACAACATTCGATTTGAAAGAAATTGTTTTATGCTGATCCCTTTATTCCTTCATTAATACAAACGCGCATTGAAAAGCAATATAGACGTTATTAACATAAATTTACAAGTAAGAATCAGGTAGAATAATACTCACAGTCACAGCATTAATTCTTAACAATAAAACTGTAATTTCAATTATTTTGAACAACCATTTAACTGAAAAGTTGAAATAACATATGAATATGGTGTGATAAATATTGCTGTACGTCCATGGGTTAGGCAACAGCTGTGTTTTCCGTTTTTTTCCTGAATCAGCAAAACGGAAGGGTCATAAATCAATTACGTTATCTCGTGGTAGCGTTTTCTTTCTGAAGTGCCGATATCTGGCAGGAAGTGCTTCCCACGTTTTTGTTTTTAAAGGATTAACACAAATAACAGCTGGTATACAAAGTCAATTAAATAATCGGCAGACGCTTTGGCATTCATTATAAAATATATCAGCCCATATATGAAGCTTACACAAATCATGTTTGAGAAGACTTGCGAAAAATAACCAAATTTATTGCAGTAATCCGCAAAGTGCTGTCTTCCATTACGATTTGTAGAAACGGCGTATATGCGAATTTTTATAAATTCACTATTTTGAAGCTGGTATTAGGGAGTCGGCTTATTCGCGAGATAGGCGTAATTTCGAGAAAATACGGTAAATCAGATTCAAAACTTCAATTTGTCTGTGAATAGGTAACAATTCCCCCGACAATTTTAAGTAGAATAAACAGCTTGAATTTGGGAATAATTTTCTATACAAGGATAAAAGCTGATAGCTTAGAACAGTAGTATGGAATATTGAATATATTTTAATTCTGTAATTTGAAATTTGTTAAATTCAGTGAAACTAGCAATTGCAAATATATATTTCGGTCAGAATACAGGAATAGGTTGGTTCAAATAACTGCTGCTTCAACTTTCTCCTCCACTAAGTCCACGCATCTGAAACAAACTGACTAATCAATTCCATACCGGTACCCGACATGAACCGGTAACTGGTCGAGAAGCTGCGGCTTGCAATCGGCTCTCCTCTACCCCGAAATAAATATATAAATTCTATCCTTTGTCAATCATGCTAGAGTAATAACATTCAGTACTGTACTTTCCAAATTTCAATTCAATCAAATATGTGGTTTTTCTGTTTTTACAGTAGTAAGAAAAATTAAAATATACAAAATATAATATACTAATATTATCATTATACTACATTATAGTCTATATCAATTTCATTGAAATTTCTAAATTCTTCTTCTGCATGCAAAATTGCCTATACTAAAAAATTTGATACCGGTACCACTATACTGTTATATAAATCTTTACAAGACGAATAAACATCCCAGACCCAGAATTCGGGATCAGCTGTATTTATATATATCTGTATATTCCTGGAGATTTCTCAGCTATCATAATCGTATTTGAATCATTAGGTTTTCATCAATCAGAGATGGAGGAGATCGCTAGGAGTCTATTACATTTAATTTTATCTACCCGAATTTTGCTGTTTTATATCAAGCGCAACACTTTTTTACTCCATGTAAATTATCCACGGATTCCAGCAATTACAGAATTATGTGTTTTTATTGAGTTATAAGCATTGCCCGATTTTGAATCGTGTCCATAGGATAGGATAGGATTTACAAATTTATCCCGAGGAGAGAAAAGTCGATAAGACGGCTTAACCATATGACGAACCACGGCCTCTCGTGCGGTTACCATTCCATGCCGGGTATGGGATTAGTTAGTTATTTGTTTTCGGAAGCATGGACTTGATGGTAGAGGAAGCCGTAACAGACCAGGGATTACGTGAACCACCCTACTACGGCGAGGAGTCCAGCAATTCTCTTGCACATAACTATCCCGCAAAGGATTCGAACCTGCGAACCCATGCAGAGTAATTAGAGATGCGGTGGCGAGCGTATTCCAAACGCTTAGCACGATGAGCCACATATTTTTTTGTATACTTGTATTATTCTTATTTTATTTTTTGGTGGGTGAGCACGTACTATTTGTTGCCTGTTTACTTTTTGTGTTGTTCCGTTTTACGTCAGAGAGCCGAAATAAAATGATTGATTGATTGAAACATACATACCGGTACCGTACATGCATACAACATACAGGTAGGTACCGCACCGTTACCTATTCAATTCTACAAACTGAACAATTGCGAGTGGACTATGCTAGAATGCAAACAATGCACTCCAATGGTAAAGGGGTCATACAGTACAGTACAAAGCGAGTATTACAAACTTTGAAGAGACCATAAGTACGGTAAGACACGGTCTTCATTTGAAGTAGCAAAGCGGCCCTCAACGAACACAACACCTGCGACACTTTTTTTTTTTTTTTTTGTCGCCAAATTCAAATCCATTGCCAAATCGGATTTGCAACACTGCAACACACGCGCGGCGGTGTGGCTCAACGGGCTAAGCGTTAGGAATACGCTCGCCACCGCACCTCTAATTACTCTGCGTGGGTTCGCAGGTTCGAATCCCATGCAGAGATGGTTATGTGCGAGAGGATTGCTGGACTCCTCGCCGTCGTTGGATGGTTCACGTAACCGCTGGTCGGTTACGGCTTCCTCCACCACCAAGTCCATGCTTCCGAAAACAAACAATACAGTAAAAATAATCCCATACCCGACTTGGAATGGTAACCGGACGAGAGGCCGTGGTTCGCCATATGGATAAGCCGTCTTATCGGCTTTCCTCTCCCCCGGGATAAATATGTAAATCCTATCCTATCCTATCCTAATAACAGTAGATTAATAATAACAAAATAACAGAACCTTCTCATGCATTCAAAATTCATCCTACACGGGAAAATAATTGTTCGTGCGTATGGAGATAATTTATAACTATTGGTTTAAACAATTTTTCATACGGTTTTTGCCATTTGTATATTTATTGCAATATATTTATTTTCCCGTAAAATATATTGTTTGCTTTATACCAGTTGTATGTGTTTTATTATGGTGCGTCAACGCCCATGGGTTAGTCGAGGTTATTGACTCATAACAAATATTTTTATCCGTGGAAGACGAAAGCAGTTTAAACGGCTCAATAATACGAGTGATCTTACGAAGCATCAGAAATGTGGTATATCAGACGAATTATGAGAATATCGTGGATGGAAAAAATGTCAAACGAGGAAGTAATGGAAAAGGCCGGTACAAAAGATCCCTAATTAAAACCATCAGGAAAAGACAACTACAATTTTTTGGGCACATAAACAGAGCAAATGGGATAGAAAAGCAAATACTGTGTGGAAAGATTTGTGGTACCAAAAGTAAGAGAAGACAACGCACAAAACACACCGACAGCCTGAATAATTACGTAACGAAGAAAGAATCCGCCAACAATGAACTCATCAGGAGAACTAACAACAGATTGGAATGGAAGGCCATGATCGCCGATGTCTGTAACAGACCTGGTACATGAAGAAGAAGATCTTACGATTACCAGTCCGCCTCTGTTAGAAATTAGTTAGCCATCTATTTGCTCTAAATACTTGGACTCAATCGCGGAGGAAGCCGTAGCGGAACAGTAGTTACGTTTGTGGAAATAAAAACTCTCTCTCTCTCTCTGACAAACTTTCGGTAGTGGGAGAAAATTGCGCGAACACCTAAAATATTCTCGCTTCTCGGTGGAACTAATCATCTTTGTTTATACTTCCTTGTTGAGACCTGCATAAGTCATTTTGACTAATTTTTATGCAAATAGGGTTGACGGTGACCTTTGTTTGCGCATTGTTTGGCGGGTATGCGGCAACTTGTGTCAACCAAACAACCACTTAAAGGAAATTTTGACTCATAATTTTATATCAATGATTCAATGATATTTGTCGCTTGAGTTCACACTTGATTTGTAATCATCACTATTACGTCTTCGCATCATGAAGTATTTTAGCGTAGCTCAACAAAAAGGAATTTATGCCACAAGTTTTTCATAAGCTTTAGTTGCACGGTATCTCTTAGCTGTTTACTGGTGGACAGCGCTCCACCATAATTGTATATGATTTTAATGACGGCCAGTACTTTACGTTTGTGGCAATAAATCTCTCTCTCTCTAACACATGTACAGATTTCATGAAATGGGAGAAATACAATTTGAAATTGAAAAATATTACAAACTTATTTTAATCTCGGAAAAGTAAATAGTTTGTAAAATTTTTGATTTGGAATTCCGCTTCTTCGTGAATATGTTTTTAATTTTGGTCGTAATAACAAGTTTTTTTTAAAGTGCAATCGTCTTTTCCAAGTACAACAGCAATAAATTCCTACTTGATACCAAAGAAACAAATTTTTGCTGAAAACCAAAGCAATCCTCCAAAAAGAAATGGACAAATTAATAAATTCGTTAGTTTATTTAACAAAGTTCTCACACAAAGTAAGCTTTGAACATTTGGAATGCAGTGAATCAAACAGAATTAATTTAAAATATGTGATAAAAAATACTAACCAGCAAATTTTCAAATCAGTTAAAAAAATGAAGAAGCATGGTAGTAAATGAAGAAGCATGGTAGTAAAGTATTGATTGCATATGTACGATAAAATATACAGCAAAGATGAAATTATTTTAAACCACAACATACATACGGCGTGAATGCAACTTATTATGTAAGTATTTTGCAGATAGCACTAAAAAAGGTTTGTTTTAAGGAAAACTATATTGAATATATTATATTATGCAGTAAAAGGCATCTGCTAATTTATAAATTGCATGTCATTCACTGTTTTTAATTACAAAATGATAAGTGAATTCAATTGATGAAGAAACCGCTTGAAGAATGCACAAGACAATATATCATACCCAGATAATATCGAATGGCATTGAAAACTGAATAGAAATAATAAATCAATTTAATTTTTACTGGCCACTGGCTATATATAACACTCGCTTCCAATGACCTATGATATTTGGTGACAAATTTTACATAACAAGGATATAGAATCCCACTCCATTCGCCAAAAATTAACTTTAAATGATAGGCAAGCCAAATCAGGGCTGAGGAGTCGAGGCCAATGTAAGATTTATAAACTCTGTTTTCCTGTCGTTGAGAGCAGGAGTCAGAATGTCCATCAACCAACAATCGTTTTTTATATGGGCATCGATTCTGTCCGACTACACACTGTCATAATCGGAATTCACATAAAAAAATGCTACAAACAAATATAGGGTATTTAATAACACAAACAAATCATTTAAAAAAAATTCTTCACATCAGTAGTAAACATAGCTATGTCCAGTGAGTTGAAGTTTTTTAGGCAATGTCATTGAGTAATTACATTTAAGAAAACTATATAAATTAATTACGGATAAGTAATGCAAGAAATCATTATAGAAGTTTAAAAAATTTACTCAGTGGTAACACGAGCACCTATTAAATGTCAAATATCTATCATACAATTCCATAATAGTAAGAATACAAACATAAACTACTAGCATGTCCTTAAATGGTAACAAGGACTATTCTCTGTCATATACAATCAAATCACTTCAAATTAATCTTCACTGCATCGAGTATAACAGATTCATGTTCTTCATGTCAATCATCTCCCATTGATTCTTCTTGAAATCAAACTTTTCCATGCTTCCTGGTGAACTGAAAAATATAGAGAAGATTATTTCAGTTCTGCAAGACAAATGGTTTGTGAAGTGGTTGTTAGGCTACTCATTGAAAATAGATTTTTAAATTCTACAGTAACTAAAGACACGAAAAAAGTAAAAATGACCGGTTACCGCAGGTGGCAGACTCTGATTCAAACTTCATAGTCAGCAATATGATTATACTGCTTCTTCTATCCGCACAAAGAGCTCAAACCAAAAGCGATTATCTATCCAAAGTTATGAATATATTCACAAAAATATAAAGATTTCAGTTTATTTCTGTGAGCATCGACAATATGGACACTAGATTGGTACAACACTTATAGTGATGAATACAGGGTAACAAATATTTCTTTGGGAATAAGTATTTCAGAACAAAATCTCCAAAACAGAAGACCCTAGTGCAGGGGTGTCGCGACCCCAAATTGGATCGGAGTGATAAGTAGGTAGAGTCGCAAACAGGTCATGGTGTCGGTGGGGTCGCTGAGGTATGGTAAAAGTTTATTAAAAGTGATTATCGGAGTCGCATAACAAACATTACCTTGGAAAATTCTTTGGTACGCTGCCTGACATCATACATCCCCAGATACAGAAAATTGATTAAATTAAACAGTGACCACTCCCAATGACAGAGATTTTTTAATTTAAAATTTTTTTTTTCCGTAATTCCGGTATTTTTAATTAAAATCGAAAGTTTAAATGTTTTAGCTTATTTTACTTGATACCACCACATGACCAAACTCAAAAATCCAGTGACAGAATCTCTAAAGTTACATAAAAATTATATATATTGACCTGGGGTCGCACTGGACACTTGAAAGTTGTCTTTGGGGTCGTCCTGAGAAAAGCTTGGGAACCCCTGCCCTAGTGCCTACCATATTGTAATAAATTCCAATAACTCTACCTGTTCCTTCCTCCAACTGCGTAAATATTTGAGTCAATAACAAAAGCTTTGAACCAGCTACGTTTAGTTGACATGGGAGTTACCGTGGACCACACGTTTGTTGAAATATCATATCGTTCAACAGTTGTCAAGTGATCGTTTGTCCATCCACCTGAAATAAATAAACAGTTTGTTAAAATCTGCTTGCAATTTTGCCAAAATGATACAAAACAATGTTTGTCCATCTTTTGACAATCTCACCTACACAAGACAAAGCAATAAATAAATAAAGAGGGAAAAGTGAACTAACATGATAGCAGGTAACCACTGCAACGTTACAAATATACTGCAGAAAATTGAACTAGCCTGAACTGAAGATTTTGAAACCTGTTCAGAATGTCTGAATATCACTCCTAATTCCAAACACTAACTGGTTAATATTTCTAGTAAGAAGGGCGCAATAGTACCAAATATATTTATGAGTTTACAAGTTACACGGCAATTGGATTGACCTTTGCATTCGTGTAAATATATAGGTATACAAACATTTGAACATGATTTGTCACAAAACAATATAATTCTGCGACCTTGCAGAAGAAAATGAATGGAATATTAGTAGTTCATGACGATGCTTAAACAAAATGGCATTGCATTTGATACTCTGAAGCACGGTCATTGAAATTTTCTGGTTAATTGCTATTTTAAGTAAAACTAAATATTTTTTCTCGAGTTTCGTACATTTTTAGCAACAAACACCCACCTACCTAGAACATATATTTTTCCTTCATTTTCAACAGCTGCGACCAATCCCTTTGCTTCATTCAAGGATGCAACAAATGACCAAGTTGATGATGTTGGGTCAAATCTTTCTACTTGGTTGGTGTAACGACCTGATACCTTTCCACCAATGCTGTATATACAACCTGGAATTATACAAGGATTATTACTTTCAAGTGTTTTCTGCATTCTGGTATTCGATGAAAACTTAGGACAAACTGATAAATCTGATATCTGTTGGCAGTCATTTTTTATTTACCGTAAGTGTATTGCAAGTTTGCTTCAAAAAACATTTTGTGAAGGCAACCACTGATACGAAACGACCTACTGGTCTGTTAAAAACGGTATTTTTTCATGTTTGGCTTAGACAAGGGGGTTTGCAACAGGCAAAGCTATTTAATGTCCGCAAAGCTATCTAGTGTGGCCCTTGTCAACACTCAGATTTTTCCCCATCACGCGCATAAAGAGCTAATCCGACAGTTTATGCTTAAAAAGTCGCTCACATGAGTAAAATTACATGTTTTTATGCTTTTTTTTGATGTGTTAAATACTTCGCCGTTTTGTCCGATGCCCGTATTACAGTAAAGCAGAGCATTTATTGGTCCAGCTAGATTTCTGAAGTTGGTTATATGGCCCAGCGACAATTCCATTTATTACCCTGTTGTATGACTGCCTGTTTCGAGCCAGTTCAATGTATATGACATTTAGTGGCGCTCCCGAAGTATGTGAACCACGATGGCGGACACCGGAACTTAGTATGTGTACCAGGTTACGGTTAGGCCATAATTCATTCCAATTTTCCCTATTTTAGTTCTATCATTCGAGGACATAGGATAGGATTTACATATTTATCCCGGAGGAGAGGAAAACCAATAAGACGGCTTAATCATGTGGCGAACCACGGCTTCTCGTCCGGTTACCAGTCCATGTCGGGTACCGTTATGGGATTAGTTTTAATTATTTGTTTTCGGAAGCATGGGCTTGATGGTGGAGGAAGCCATAACCGACCAGCGGTTACGTGAACCACCCTACGGCGGCGAGGAGTCCAGCAATTCTCTCGCACATGATCATCCCCGCATGGAATTCGAACCTGCGATCACACGAGAGGTAATCAGAGATGCGGTGGCTATCCAAGTATTTGTACTTGAAATTATGGCCTAACCCAACCTGGTACACATACTACGTTCCGGTGTCCACCATCTTGGTTCACATACTTCGGGAGTATCCATTTATTTATAAGACAACACCCTCTAACCTCTAGCACCCAGTGCTGTTGAATTTGCATAGTTGAGATTTTTGTCTTTTACTTTTTCCCATTTGTTGCTTGATGGATCGAACTTTTCAACTGATTTTGAGTAACTATTGAAAAAACCAACAACGTAGAGGTTTCCTGTAAACAATTCATATCACAGAACAATGATAGAAAGCAAATGATAACTTGAAAAATAATAGAAGATAAAGTAAAGAACTATTTGTCTTAAGGCAAAGCAAACTCGTGGTATTTATACAAATATAAATCATGTCATAATAATAGATGAGACAATAGAAATGGAAGACAAAACATTAACCAAAAATAAAAAAAAGTTTTCATGGGATATATACAAACACAAATAAACTACTAATCTTAAAACAGGAGTGTTAGTGTATTGTATAATCAACTTAAGTCCTTTGGTCGTTCAATTCCGGATCTGTGTGTTTTAGCAAAGTAACTCAATCCTAATTTCAATCCTATTTTTGCAATTTTTGTATTTATTTTCCTGAACTCAAATATATGATCTTACAAAACAACTACTATTTCTTACACAAATAGATTGTGTTATAATTCTTCAATGGTGTGAATATGAAAATATAATTTGTATTTGTACACTTTGATTAAGTGACAAGTTTTACAAATCAGAAAAAAATTATCAGTTTTTTGTACACAAAGCACTCAGAAGAATTTTGGGTCACCCACAATGAAGTGATATAGTTACAATACAAGGCTGAACTGGAATTAGATACCATATGCTTTTAAAATATGTTTTTTATTTAATTCTTAAACAGACCAGTACTAAGAATTCTTGAGGTAACTTCACTTCAAACAGACAGCAACAAGATATTTGAAAAACTCAATTACTAGCCGTTTGGCAGAGGTAACAAGATAATGTTTAGCAAAAGAAGTTTTGGATCAAATTCTTACCAGACAAAACAGCAACAGGAGGACAATTCCCATGACTATACATCATATCTTTCATTCTCTCCCAAGTAGCTACATGATCTGAGTATTTCAGTCGATGAACAGATTGATCTTTCATGAGAACATAAATGCAGTCATAAAGAGCCACAGCAGAAAAATAATCCCCTGATCCAGGCAAGTTCTGGAAAATTTCAATAAACAATATTGCATTGAAGAAATCGTTGTCAAATGTAGATACGGATGAATGGGTGTGGCGGGATGAGGGAATCTAATCCCATTCGAATATTCGTCCTAAAAATGCCTTGTCCACGGATGGCACTTCATGCCAAGCGTTAGGAATACGCCCTCCACCTCATCTCTGATTACCCTGCGTGGGGTCGTCGGTTAAAAATCCATGACAGGATGGTTATGTGCAGGAGAATTGCTGGACTCATGGCCGATGTAGGGTGGTTCATGTTACCACTGGTCGGTTACGGCTTCCTCCACCATCCAGTCAATGCTTGCAAACAAAACTAATCCCATGCCCGACATAGACCGGTAAACAGACAAGGCGCCATGGTTAGCCATATGATTAAGCCGTCTTATTGGCTTTCGTCTTCTTTGGGATAAATATGTAAATCCTATATTACAAACGTACAAGTCAGTTATCTGACTTTAAATTTATCCCGAGAAAGGGAAAATGAAAAGCTGATAAGATGTCCAAGAACAGTCGAAATAAAATAAGTAACGCATTAATACCATATGTGGAACTACCACAACCGTATCTTGCAATCCAATCGCATAAAAACACAAGCTTTGAGCATTTATTTTATCATCTGGAGTAATAATGAAGACTAATGAATGATATTTTCTATGTATAATACGATTAGACTGAGATACCCTAGTTGACGGTTGTCAAATACTAACCTGCATTTTCGTCCAAGCATTATTCCGAGGATCAAAGCATTGCAGGCTCTTTGAATTACGATCAAACACTGCAACTGCAAAAAATAAAGTTGGTATCAGAAATGAAAAGCAAAGACAACAACTATAGCATCGTTCGATTCAGGTCCAGACAGGTATATGGATCGTTTCTTTTGTAAACCCCATAGTACACACTAATTAACCAATCCATAGTTAGGTTAGTTTCTAAGTTCTAGGTGACAAATTGCATTCTGTATTGTCTACTTCTTAATTCAACTTACTTGCCTCCTTTTCTTCTTGTTTTATATTTGCAGCAGAGTGAACATTTGAAGCACCAACGTTCAAGCTGTCCATCACAGATATTAGTAAAGCATGAGAACATTCATGGCATGACTTTACCATTGGCTGTAACAACCAAAGTGTGTTATGTTATTCCATTGAATGTTGAATAATATAAGAAAAGGAAATTGATTTCGCAGAAATATAGAATGATGTAGACAAATCATTAGTAAGACTGTGGAGTATACACTCGATCCTAAACCCATTTAAAAACTACTCCAGGTTAAAGAAAATTAGGCTTGTTTCCACCTGCAAACTTAAAACAAAAAAACATATTTTAAAAACAAAAACATTCGCTTTGCCTATGCTCTATCTTTCTTAAACTGAGCGCTGTGAATACTGAGGTAACTTAACGTTCTTTTGAGTTTTATTCTGAAATTTTGACTCCGATCATCGACAATATAAAGCTGATTTTCCGGCATCAAGATATAGAGATTTCAACTCCAGCTTTGAATCATGACCCCTGGTAATTTGAAAATAAAGATATCCACAACGCCGACCCCACAGCGCTCGTCAATATTGGTCAACTAACATCCCAATAGTATATTCAAATATCCCAGTAAAAGGGAATGGTTTTAATATGTAAATTATAAAGTAGCCGACCTCGTTTTCAACAAGGAATCTTCTATAAGTCACCGGTACTATATGCAAATCAATGTAGTTGTTCAATTTCTTCAGAAGTTTTTTGCGATTTCTTTGCTCATGTTTTATCCAAGATATCAACGCCTCTAGCTTGACACTCTCAGACGCCTAGAAAGAATGCAGAACATGGGAATATTTAGTTGTATCTATTAATTAGACTACTGAATTGACAAATGCCCAGCATTCATGTATTGTATTGGAAGACCTTGCTTGAATATTTATTTAATTAAAAAAACTAGTGGCTAGCAGGCTACACCAGGCATTCCAGGGCAGGAAGGCCACTCCTATCAGATTGACCGAGGTGGTTAAGCCAGGTAGTTTCTTATGATTGAGTGGCTGCTTGTATCATGGAAAGTTATTTAGGTCAGCCTGAACTCAAAACCTTCCTCCCAATGAAATTAGTGACTACTTGTATAAAGTCTTTTCAAAATGAAGGTTTGAAACAAAACACTGCAAATACCTTGTTTTCTTGTGACTTGATCAATCTAACAAACTCCTTTTCCTCTATTCCCTTGAACTCATCAAGAACCGCAATTTCTTCAAATTTATCCAGCATGAACTTCTCGCATTTTTCCATCAATTCTTTGTAATTGTGCAGGTTTGCGATTCTTTTTGTCACAAAGAATGATTCTGCAGATGATTCGAGATTTTCTTCAAGTGAATCAACGATGCCTTCACAGACATCTGTTATCATAAAGCAAACATATATATTATATGTAAGTATACATTTATCTATGGGCAAGCACACATCCATTTTGATTTGTTCCACACAAATTCCCAGCCCTCACACCTTTTACAAATTTTCAAAACAGAACTCATATTAAATTAAGACATATTTTTAGAGAGAACATACGAAGCATCCTGGATTACTAAAACTTTTGGGTACCAATCATACATGAACAAAGCTCAAGTATTAAATAAATTTTGGTGAATGATTTCAGTGATATATGGCTTCTGTTTTTTTTTAGTGGTTGGCATGAATGAAACTTAATAACAGATATTACAGATTAATTAACAAGCTGAATAAAATCAGAAACAAACAGGGTTCCTTTCAATGAGAAACTGGCCAGGACAACTATAGAAATTCAGGCCCAAGCAAACCAAATAGCTTTATTTGTGGGAGATTGTCTCGGTATTTTCAATCACAGAGGATTGAGTGAATCTCTGTACAGTCCAGAAGAAGGATCAACTTTATATCATCACCTTTCAACTGTAGTAATTCAGCCACGTACATCAAAGATTCAGCATTTTCATTAGTAGTAGACAATTCACCAGTGTAAATATATTCTATGCATTGTTGCAGGGATAATGGATCAACTTCCTTCATTTCCACTTTACCAGACGCTGTCTCAGCATTCTGAAGTATGATAATACCAATGATTAAAATCACATTAACAAGGGTGGGTAACATTACCAACTGTGAAAGAGGTAGTTAACTCAAACAGTTAATGGTGAGATATCACATGAAACATTAATAAACAAGGGTAACAGTACTAACTGTGAGAGAGTAACTTGAAAAGTTAATGGTTGAGATATCACATAAACATGAATAAGCAAAATTTACATTATGAGCCAGCATTGCTTTGAAATAATCAGATCCTACAGATATAATATTCTTATGAACTGGGATTTCTTCAGAGCCAGCTATGATCATGAAATCACAATGATCTCGAGTTTCCTTTCTGCTTCTGCAAAAGGAAATTTTAAATCAGCATTGCACTAAATGTGTTTTCTATTCCGCACAGGAAATCCTTGTGTGAATTTTCAAGTTTTAAAATGGGGCTGTGAAGCTGGTTTGAAATCACTGTCGTTTTAGCGGTATTTAGGGAGATACAGTCTGTTCAAACAATGACTCTAGCTCTGACCCTGCATTTCCTATTTCGCTTTTGGGCTGCAAAACCATTGATGTTCTTTTATGGTATGACCATTACCATGACACATTAGCTCAGATACAGTTATGCGAGAGTTAAATCTGTGTTGAGGATTTCAAATTGTAATATAAACTTTTAATTATACGTACTTAATTGAAAGTTTTAATATGATAAATTAAATATTGAAAAAAAATGAGCTGAATAGGGATAGATCATATTATTTGTATGAAGTATGAGAAAAACCAAAATCTGGAAAAATAATCAGATTGTTTGAAGCTAGAGACACTAAATTTCCTGCAGCCAAGTTCCCACCCCCATCTACAACAAAAGATTGTGGATACATGGGCCCATCTCCCCAGTCCTGTTTAGTAGGGGATAATTATGGGCACATGATCATAAAGATATTCAACCGTCGCCATTCCTCACTTTATAACTGTGCAAACAGAGGAAAGGTTAAAAAATTCTGTCACTGTTATCAAATTCAATTCAAGAGTCTTGCTGCACACGAACACAAATATATTTCTGTAACGTTTCGTCTGACCTGCGCAAAGGCATAGAGAGCAAGGAAAGGTAGTTAGTTTCACGCATGATTTCTATTTCGCGGTTTAAGTCATTTCCTTACATTGCAGCCATGACCCTTAAATGAACTTAGGCGATACCACAGTCGGAGTTATGGGATAACAGATGAAATTGTTTAATTTTCTTTTTAATTGTCACTCACTACACTGTGGGGTATCTATTGATTTTAAATCAAATTTAGCTTTCCTATTGTTCTGGCACTGTCTCAATTTTATTTATATCTCTCTATCGCAAACAGACCCAACATTTGAAACCAACATTTATGTGCATGAAATTGCGTTTCTTGTTATAGTTGTAAAATGCTTGTCTGAAGAAGTCTGACCTCGGTCAGACGAAACGTTACAGAAATATATTTGTGTTCGTGTGCAGCAAGACTTTTGAATTGAATAGAATAGCCATTTACACTCTTGCTACAGCATCCTTGCGTAAGACGCATACGGATCCACCTGCGCAAAGGCATAGAGAGCAAGGAAAGGTAGTTAGTTTCAAGCAACCTCAACTGTTAGTCACTGTTATCAAAAATGTCATATCAATCATGGTATCAAGGTTCAACGGAACATGCGTAAACAGGTATTGCCACATTTTTGTCTTTTTACAGGACCGGTTTGAAAGGTAACCGCACATGCGCCTATAAATTGTTTTGTAAAATTTTTGTTGTTTTTGTCAGATGTCAGGGCTCCTATATTGCTATTTCAGTTCATAATGAGACTTCCGTCATGAATGTGTACGGTAAGTCTCAAAAGAATGATGGGAAATGCATCTATTCAGCCTCGACCAGGAAAGGATTTACATATTAATCCCAGGTGAGAGGGAAACCGGTAAGACGACTTAACCATATGGCGACCACGGTCTCTCGTCAGGTTACCAGTCCATATCTGGTATGGGATTAGGTAGCCATTTATTTATTTATTTTCGGATGCATGGACTTGATGGTGGAAGAAGCTGCAGCGGTTACATGCACCACACTACGGCAGCGAGAAGTTCAGCAATCTTCTCGCACATAGATATCCCCGGCTTGGATTCGAACCTGCAAACCCACGCAGGGTAATAACGGGCCCGATGGCTAGCGTCTTTACCGCCATATAGCAACCATGTATTTTCTTTTTTATAGGTCGGGAACCCATGGCTCGCGAGCCATATATGGCTCTTTTGGTGACGGCATATGGCTTCCAGAAAAATCTAGTATTCTAAGGCTTCAGCTCACAAATTTTAATTCATAATATTAATTTAAACGTTTTAAGATGAATTTATATATTTAGTTCCTGTTTCTAATAAACTGCATTTGGGCAGATATTTCAATGTAGTGGCCACACTTAAAAACTCAATTGGATATGGAGCCGGAGGAGGAACATAGCTCTTATGCAAAACAATGAAGCTTCGAAGACGGGGCCAATGTAATTTTATTTAAACTGATACATGTGAACCAGACTGGACTTGTTGGCCGAGTACACTAGTGCTCCTTGAAAATGCATGCAAGCGAAATCCATTTTACACGCCAGGGAATTTGTGATAGGTTGTGAATTGAAATTTGAGAATGTTAACCATTATATCTCACAGCAGTGTTAACTCTATGCTATTTATGAGTGCGAAAGTGCTTCGCAGTCGAAAAAAAAAGTGTGAAAGTGCTTTTGCCGATTTTAACAAGGTAGGTGCCCTAGCCTTTCATATAACCCATTTAAAACGACATAGATACTCGAAAAAGCGCTCCTACGGTTAATATTATTTCTCTTTTACATTATAATATTTCAGAGCTTACCCAAAGACAAGTAATTTTTAAATGTCGACATGCCTTGGTTTGCGTGCGAGTTAGTTCAAATCGGGCAGAAAACATTATATATTGGCAAAATGTTTAGTAATGCCATATACTTTCAGCATTCATAAATAGCACTCTTTGTAATGCTGCTGACCTAGTATCAAATATTCGCATCACAACGCCACACTGTGAGGTTTCCATATATTTCAATTACACTAATAGGAACAATGACATCAAAGAGTTTTCTTTTGCGAAGGTACACGATATATAACGAGGGTGATTCTTGAAAAAAACATGAATATAAAAATAAACAAATGATATGATAGTGGATCCCAAATAAATTTGAGAGTGTCTCGAAATACCAATCCATTTGATAAATAATTTTTATTCGACCACATGAACGCTGATACCCTAAAAATTGATGTTGAAAGAGAAGTACGCATCCTCAGATATCGGACATCCAGCCGCGATATTCAATCGTTCATATGCACAAATCTCACATTAATAGTAATTGCTACCCAAGTTTGTAAAGTTTAGAAACCAACAAACAGAAAATAACTTATCCTGAAACACAATTAAAATTCAGTCGGCAATAATTTGCGCCAAGACGATGCCATACATTTTAATTCAAAACATTCAACGACCTTTCATTTAAATGTACCAGTAGAAAAATTCAGCCTAGTCTATCAAAACTATTTATAGACTAGTTTTTAGGGATGGGACGAGTCCGGCATTACAGAGATTCGACGAATCCGAGTAATAGGTCAAGGACTCGAATCGAATCCTCCGAGTCCGTGACGTTACAATGTAAAAGTAGAAAAACACGTTTTTGACCATACTACAGCATCGTCCGCTCACAAACATACGTCATAGCTAATATTTTTGGCCTAATGGTTCCGCAGATAGCTGTTGAATCAATTTAAAAATATATTTTTACTTCGTTTTTGGCGGCCATGATACAAACGTGAACGTGGGTCAATGTGCGCCTTGGCTGTGAATTGGATTTCTAGCCCACCACCCTGCGTCAAGTCAGGCGGCTATTTAGAAATTCTTACATGTCAATATGAAAAATAAAAAGCTTTTGACTGCAATGCTTCCCCATAATTCCAGATATTTCTAGCCTTAAATTTACTATGTCGCGTACGCAAATGGAGAGAGATGCCACCTGTCGTCAATATAATGCTTGCAATTTAGTAGTTCATGTAAACGTTCTAAAACGCTCCATGCTTTCCATTGCTCCCTTTTTAGAGAAAGGACTATACATAATAAACTCAATTTAAAAGAGGTATTGATGAGATTCCCCCTTGGGTTGATCCTGAACATATTTCATATTTATTTACGCGAATCGAAAACTCAAAAATATTGCGCTAACACATATTTTATTGTGTACCAAATGTATACCAAAAATGATAGATAGTTTGAAGGCGACTGGCGCATCATTGTTATAAGCTATCAATAGTTTTTAACTTGCGTTATATTAT